TAATAATTGGGAATGAAGAATTCTCTTTGAATCCAAAAGTTCTTCAATAGATTGTTTATGTTGAAGGCTGTCTTGTATCTAATTACAGTTTTCTTCATTTTAGATTCTCATAATAAATTGTTGGCAATAACTATTTTGTGAAATAATGAAAAAGATTTTCTGTGTTTAGGTAGAAGAGGAAACGTGTTCAGAATGATATTTTTTCCTTGTTTTATTGGGGTGTGGTGTTCTCAGGTTTATAAATAATGTGTTCACATTGACTAAGTTACATGTAAGTTTTCTTCATGTTCATGTGTTGTTTAAAACTTTCAAGTCATAATTATTCAAGCTATCTGGTCATCTAAAGTGTTATTTGACTTAATCTTTGGATTAAAAAGTTTTAATCATTCCAGACATGTGCTTAAACCAGGGTTCAAGATTAACATTGTCCCACAATCCTGGGGACAATGGAACATTAGTTTAGTAGAATCAGTTAAATTTTGGGGGATGATAATACTGGGACAATGCAAAAATTTTCATTAAACCCTCATTATTTTATAAGTAACTAATTTCTTAAAGTAAAAGTTTTTAAACAGAAATGATGGGCTTCTAATAAATGGGGGACATATATGTGCATATACATAAAAAAAAAAACAAAAAAAACTTAAGCATTTTTTTAAAAACTGGTGAATGAAACTTGATTGAAAAACGAATGTTAAAAGACTTAAATTTAAATATTTATTTCTAAATGTAAAAAACATTAGGATCTAATTGTATAACTAATTTTGCTTTAATATGCAAAGTAAGAAAATTATATTTCTGTCAATTTTTGCTTAAAGAATATGAATAAAACATTAACAAACATTTGTGTTGTTTGTTCTGCTTAACATAAACTAAATTGAGAATACAAAGGAGAATTTAAAAAATAATAAACAAACCTGGAAAATTTAGTCATGATGCAGTAATTATAAATTAAATTTTTTTTATAAAGACTTGTGTGGTAAGGCAACCTAATTATCTCTCCTGTCTTATGATTTGTATAAAGTCACACCACCTTAAATAAAACAAAGTTATGTTCAATAAAGGCACATTAAGCCAAATTAGACTCAGAGTTTACATTACAATTTATTGAATGTAATTGTGGACAAATACCTTAAACCAGAAGGTCTCGACTTTGCAGACCCATCTTCTACTGATGCCTGGCATTATTGGAAACAATTATTTGAAGGATTCTTGCTTGCACTGGAAAATAGTTCATCCATTCCTATTACTGATACGGATAGACTTAACCTGCTAATGCGCCACATTTGCATATCCGTATATACCAATATTTCTCACTGTAAAACCAAAGTCCATCAATGTTTTGGGTGGAATTTTTAAGAGATGTGACATAATCTTTGCTTGGAATGTATTAGCAACTACCCGTCAATACCCTGAGGAGGGGTTAGAACAGTATCTTCAGAGCTTAAAAATCTTATATCGAGACTGCGACTTTCAAGCAACTACAGCAGATCAGGCAAAGGGTGAATTTATCAGACTCCTTTATAAATGGATTAGGATCAAACTATATCCGTCAAAAATTGCTGAAAAATAAACAATAAGATTTAGCTATTGCTCTTACTTTGGAGATGACAGAAAAGCAATCTTGTTTATACCTACAAACAAGTGTTGCAGAGGCTGCACTAAGTACTCACACTCCACCAGTTAAAATGATCCAAACAAGGGGGGAAAAAGACATTCCTCTATGAGAGACTTCCTCGTTTCTGCCCCACCCTCCACCAGTTCAAAATCATCTCTCTCCAGAACACACTGCATACACTTCTAGTGCTGCGACCAAATGAAAATTTTATTTTTGTGGTCTTAAGCTACATCCCAGGTTGTGTTGTCCAGCCAGTAAAACTAAATACCACAAGTACAGGAAGAAGAGACATTTCTCTAAGGTTTGCCACTGAAGCTTTTTTTCACCTGGTTCAAATACTTCTATTGCAACTAGTATTGGATCAACTGCAAACCCTAAATGTCTTTCAACAGTTAATAAAAATAAAAGAAATGAATGCTCTAGTCAATACAAGAAGCTCAGAGTTAGTGTTGATATTGCAAAAAGAAACATATTTAAAACTGTACATTGTAATAGTCAGGTGGCTATGGTGAATGCTTCACTATTTTCACAGAGGATATATTTTGGCTGGCCTAGAGTTGAATCAAACTAATTACACTAAGACCAAATTTTTCATGATACCAAATCTGTGCTGCGATGTTATACTGGGTCATGATTTTCTTAAAAAGCAGTCTAGTATTAATCTCCCTTTTGGGAGCACTAAACTGGCATTGAACATCTGCAGCTTGGCCACTATAAATGTACAATACTCCTCTCTTTTCAAAAATTCAACTCCTCTCTTTTCAAAAACTGTAAACCAGTGGCCACCAAATCTCAAAAATATTTTCTTAAAGACAAAATGTTTATTCAAGCAGAAATAACAAAAATGTCAAGAGAAGTAGAGCTTTTCATTTGACATTTTCTATTGGTTGGGAGTCAAGAGCATAGATCAATAAACAGCACCAAAGATCTTCAAAAAGTTCATAATAATCTCTGTCATCCAGGCATCACGAGGATGATGCATGTGGTTTGAAGCTAGAACTTGCCTTTTTCAATTGAGGACATGAAACGAATAACAAAAGGTTGTCAGATTTACACTTGAATAAAACCAAGGTTTTACAAACCCAAACCGGGAACCCTAGTAAAAGCTACACAGCCATTTGAGAGGTTGAACATGGACTTAAGGGCCCTCTTCCATCTAAATCCTGAAATAAATACCTGCTGTCGTTGACTAGTACTTGCGATTCCCTTTTGATTTTCCCTGTCCAGATTAAGTGCAACAATGGTCATACACTGTCTTTGCTCACTATTTTCAATATTTAGAGCATCAGCTTATATTGATACAGATTGCGAGACCTCTTAAGTTCAATCAACTAAGAAGATTCTTATTGTTTCAGGGAGTGGCTGTAAGCCAAACTACCCTATGCAATCTTCAAGGGAATGGATAGTGCAAGAGATACAATGGCATAATATGGAAAACTGTACAGTTAGTACTTGAAAACCAAACCCTTCCAATTAGACATTGGAAAAACAGAATAACTGAGGCTCTGTATGCTATAAGAAGACTATTGTGTACAAGAACTAATGCAACACCTCCCAACGGGAGGCAATCAAACATTTCCCTCAGAGATTTGGCCCCTGCCAGAAAATTATCAAACCAGAGGGAGGAGCAGCTCTTCCCTGAAGCAATATCTCTCCTTGTTGATAATAATGACAACACAATGCCATTGGATTCTCCTGAGGAACAAGGCCCTGATAGTAACAATTCAGAGATTGACACCAGAAAAGCTTGTTCAAAATGAGAGCATATTACCACCAACTCTGAAAATCAACTTTCAGAACAGGAGTATCCCACTCTAAGGAGACAAAAACAATGAGATGAAATACTTCTGGCCAACTGTTCTGATAACACCTGAAAGCCCAGATCAATGGCCACCAAGACAATCCCAGAGAATGGTCAAGAGACCCAGTCACCTGGATGACTTTGTGTCAGACTAGAAGAAAACAAAGCCAGGGAGAATGTGATAAGACAACCGGATTACCTCCCCTGTCTTATGATTTATAGAAATAAGTCACACCAACTTAGCCAAAACAGCAAGACTCTTCAGTTATGTTCAATAAATGCACATTAAGCTGGACGAGACTCCACTGCTTTCATTACAATTTTCAAAACATTTTTGATTGTGAATATTTGGAAGGAATACTCTAATATTCTTTATATAGAAAATGAATTTTTTAAATGAAAGTTTGATAAGAGTCACTCCAAACATGAAAATTAATTAATAAGAGCATTTCTGGTGAAAATTATTCAGAGTGATTTAAATGAAATGTTTAAAGGTGATTTTTATAAAAATTACAGTAAAACAACTAATTTTTTCTTGTATTTATTCATTTTAAAACTCTATTTTTAAATTTTTATTGCAAACTATGCAATTTGCATGAAAACTAAATTTCAGAATGGTGACTACAGAGCATGGAAACCATAGTTTAAAGATCAAATGGATTGAAATAAATATTTTAATGGTGTTTGTTTTATTATCCTACTAACAACAGTAAATGATAACAGTTTTAAAAAAAATTGACTTTGGGATGGTTTAAAAATTCAACTGTTTGTGAAAAGAATTAGTCTAGAACCCTGGTTAGCATCTATTGTCTCCTTATTGTCTTGCTACACTTTTCTCGGATTAAATATTACCAAATATATATTTAATGTTTTGGTTCTGTTTTTAACTAAATGAAATTATGGAAAATTTTAACTTTTTCACAAACAATTAAGTAGTCATGCACATTATTTTTCTAATTTTATGTAAAAATAGCACTGAGAACTTTAGCATCATGCATACACACACACATACTAATTGTTCATATAGATGTTATATTTAGTAAGTATACATGTTTGAGTAGACATCATTGTAGAAACTCTTATGGAAAATGATGAGTTAATTAAAAATGAGCCCACCTTTTTCCATAAGAGCTTCTAACAATTTCTTCAGGAAAAAAAAGATTCACTTGGTTCTGCAATCTATGCTGGACAATTTCACAGGTTGAACAATATTGATAAAAAAAAAAGATAGTTACTATATCAATAAAAAAAAAAAATAGAGCTACTATAATAGCAGTAGTTCTATATTAAGCACTGCTTCTATACTGACATTGTTATAAGTTCCTTGTTATTAAATATGAGACAATTGTTATCATCACACTCAATACATAAGGATACATTGATATTTTCATTTTTGTCTGATATAACATGATATTGGGAGCATTGATGAGAAAGTTATAATGACCTGCAAGAATCTATTCTAGTATTCACCTTACTGTAAACGTCCTTCAAGTAAGGATGATTCTAAAATGCTGCATATGTTTTGTCAAGTTTATAAATTCTACTTTTCTTGCATTATTTAATTTCATATTTTTTCCTCAGATGAATACTTCAAGCATCAAAACAAGAAAAAAGATATGGATGTTGAAAGAAGAGAATATAGAAGTTCAACCAATCAAACTTACCATAGCCGACATAAAAGGTCAGACTCACTTGAGCGGCATATCGAAGTGATGGTTGTAGCTGACCATGAAATGGAAAAATATCATGAGGAGAACTTGAAACATTATGTATTAACTTTGATGGCTATGGTAAGATATATTTACTTTTTTTTTTTCTTTCTTTGGGTCATACTCTGTTGGCTACACAGTTTGTTCTTTTTTCTCTTTTTATTTTTTTATCTGTTTTTGTAATTTACTTACACATATCTCTCTGAAAACCTATCTAATTTGTCTTTACAATAGATGGCCATCATAATAGTCATGAAGGGATGCCTGCCATTCTTTAAGAAATTCTCTTTTCTTCCTTGAATGCTTTTAGGACAAAATCTAGAGATATAAGATTGGCAGATTCGATTGATTGAAATATAACTTCATTGCATATCCTACTTTGCATAATAATTACCTCCTTGAGAAGAACATTTTTCAACTGCACAAATGAAATAGACTCCTTCATTCCAGGCAAATTCCATGTTATTCATGGCAAACTGATGAAAGACATTTTTAGCTTTGTCCTTACTCACATCTTTATGCAATTACAGAACAACACACTCAAATTCTTAGTAAATATAAGATATGTAGATGGTACCATGGTGTATGGATGCACCTGCAAATATTTGATGACAATGCCTGGCAGCTGACCTTCTCTCCACCCTAGCTCTCACAACTGATTGGGGGGAAAGACTGGCTGGGGTCATTCATTACTTCCAAAACTAAACCAGTAACATTTCATCCCCACTGAACACTCTAAACCTGCACCAACCTTGATGAGTGGTTATACCCTCAAAGAGATACCTTGCTTCAAATGCCTACTGAGGCTAAAGTTCACTCATGATCTCAAATGGAATGCATATATTTGTCACAAAAGATACTGGGAGAATGGTTGGTTCCTTGTATCGCTCTGGACAATACCTAACTCCTGTTGCCATTGTCTATCTTTACAAGAGTCGGATCAGTCCAAGAATGGAGTAATGCTGCCATATCTGGGCTGGTGCTACACAATCCTTACTGTCCAGTCTCAACAGAGTTCAAAAGTGATTACATAGCCTTGTGGGTGACAAATTATTCTCCATCCTGTGACATCCCACAGATTTGCTTCTCACTACTCTATTGCTATTCCTATGGCAAATGTTTTAATGAGTTACATTCCTTATTTCTATATGTTCAAACCTTCACAGCTAGACCATGCCATGTTCATAGGGGCATCATCCCTATTCCTTTCCTTCGGAATGGTATGAATCCACCTCTTCATCCCCCAGCTAATTAGTAAGATTTGTTATTACTAAATCATTATTACCTCCCCCAAAAGTCTTACAATGTAAAAATATTTTGTCTTTAAATAACCTGCAAAGTGTTCATAAGTCAGAAAATGAATCAATTGGTGTATCATTGAACAGGTTCTAGTATGGCCTAATTGTTCCTTGCAATATAATTTGGGGCAGATTGTTCTATATTTGGTTTAGCCCGCTACCAAATTTAATAAAGAAAAAGAGTCTTCTGAAATTGTCATACCTCAATCTAATGTTGTTGATTTCTGTTTCAAGAGATACAAAAGACACAGTTTTAAGATATAAAAGATGTATAAAAAAAAAACAAGTATTGGTATATTTTTTAACATCATATTAAATCTTTATTATTACTACTATTTGATCAAGAAGACCCTCATTAAAGATGCAAGAAACATGATCAGTGGATCACTAATGGAAGAAAGAGAAATTAGTCTCTGTCTTTAAAGCATAAAGTCTTGTATGGCTGCTGAAGTCTTTTGTGTACAAAGTTTCTTATTACCTATTCAAGTTCTAGCATATTATGTTTTTATTATTTTTATTTCTGTTGTTGTATACTCATTTCCTTGTGGGTCCCAATCAGAAATGGCATTATGACATTTCCACAGCACATTTGTGTAGTAAAAGAATAAAAAAATCTAAAAAAAAAAAAAATGCAAACCAATTTTACATAGATAAAATGCTTTGTAGGGTGTGAACTGTGCTTGTATTTTTTTCCTTAAGGCATAAGCTGCTAGGGATCCCTTCAATGAGTCTATCAGATCTTTCTCCATTCTGGAATTATTGATGTCTTCATGTGCCACATTTTTAAAATTTCCATTTCAAAATCCCTGTATTTTGATAATTTATTTTTAATATCTTCAAAGCAACGTTACAGTCTGCAGGAAGTAGCATGTCAACAAGAAACCAGATTTTGTTTTCATGATCTTCAATCACTACATCTGGAAGATTAGCTTTGATTGCAAAGTCCCATGAAATTAACAGTCCTATCTTTGAAATTAGGTCTGATTGGTGTTTGTAATTTTTTTTTTTTTTTTTTTTGCAGTTTCTTTCTCATAAAAGTTGCAGATTTTGGCCCACCCTATCATGCTGAGTTTTGCTTGATATTTCGTGGGTGATGATAATTACTACTACAACATCAATGCCACAATCAATGAAGATGTATGAAATTTGATTAGTGGATAATTAATGAAAGACAGGAGGAGGAAAAAAGAAATTAATCTGTCTCTTTAAAGCACAGTCTCGTCATGTTGCTGCTGAAGTTCAATAAAATTTTAACTAGAATTCTCTTTCAAAATTTGACTTTATAATGCCTGTTGTTGGCATAATTAAGTGATTTTATTTATATATAATTTAGTTTTGATTTTCTTTTTTTATTATTAATGCTTATTTTTCTGTTTTTTTTTTTTTTTTTTTTTTTTTCAGGTCACAAGTATTTATAAACACCACTCAATAAAAAATTACATTAATGTTGTTCTTGTGAAATTAGTTATCCTTGACTCAAATGAGGTGAGTAATTTTGGCTCAATTTACTTCCTAAATTATATGAAAATAAAATGAAGGGGAGAAATTGAAATTATTCAAACTAAGCCCATTCTAATATTTCATCTCAAGCATTTTGAGAATTTAAAAGATTATACACATTTGCTAAAAACACTAATAAAATCAGCTGTTTTCATACAAAGAATGTAGATTTGAATTATCACAGCTGAGTCATGCCAGAGATTATGGCTTACATAACTCTCAGATGTGTGTGATTCATGTGAACCATGCTTCAATGACAAATGATAATATTGCTCAATGGACAATTTTAAACACTGAAGCAATGATTGTTTGACAGATATTTAAATTGGTTACACTTTCAACCAGAATCTTTCCTTATAAATACAATTGCTTTAATCCAGCTTCAAGCTTTATTGGCAGAAAAACATGAGGATTGCCAGAAACAAATATAAATTGACACTTGATAAAAAATACATTTGGCAAAACCTTGAATAACTAAATTATCTGAACATATTTTTCAGCCCTTGTTCCAATGTGTCAGGTACTATACTGTTTTTTTTTTTAAACACCATCATTTAAAATGCATATCATCAAATAAATTTTTTTCAAGTCCATGCTTTTGTTTTTATTATTCAACACAAGAAATTTTGTCATTTTTGTTCTTGTGAATAATATGAAATTAAAAAAAAAAAAAAAAAACAATCTGGTCATCTGCTTGGAACAATATTTTTGAATGGAATTAATTTTAAATTTCACTCCAACCTTTCTTTGATCCCAATGCCTGTTAACGTCAACAACATTCTAGATTGATTTGGTTTTTTTTATGGCTTAACTTATTGCAGGTTATTTAAAGCCATAAAATATTTTTTAGATTGTAAGAATATTTTTGATATAATAATAATTTATTGATACATGTCCTACTATTTTAACCCCTATGGGGATAAAACAGGTGAATTCATACCTTTCAAATGGGTATTTGTAAGTGAATATAATGAATCTGGAATTGGAACTCTGCTCTCAAATTTTCAATTCTAAGCCATTTTCCATTTATCCACCTACACATCCAAGCTTACAACACCTGGTATTCCCAAGCAATTACCCATCTAGGTGGTGAACAGGCTCATGATTCCTTAGCTTTGGCAAGCATACAGGGAGAGACTAAAATAACAGAAATAACAAAATCCCATATATTGGTTATAAACTTATTTAAATAAATTTGGATTTGGCAATTGCTCAGTTGTTTAAATATTTATCCTGATAAAATCTTTGACTTCTTGCAGTATCAGATATCATAACAACTATCTTTTTTGTGCCATACCCTTTCAAGACATGTGTGATCATGGCTCTCTACAACTTCCTGTTTATTATAGCTTTAAATGACCTTTGTCTCTACCATCCCTATTATACTTGTTTTGCTATCTATTCATATAAAATTAAGTGGGTTTTCCTTGTAACTGCTATTTCCTTTAAAACTTCCTCATTGCTTACATGTTCTGTCCATGATATTTTTTAGATAACTTTCTGTACATCAATTAACATCTTTTTGATTTATAAATATAAAATTTTAAAATGAGAGATTAAAAAAAACAATTTGTAAAGTGTAGTTCCATTGAATTTCAGCTAAATGAAACCTCTATTACAAGGAATAACTGCTTAGTAGGATCAATTTTGTAAATGTAAATAATATTTTGTCCCTTTTATGCTATTGAGCAGTGTTTTAACAGGATATAAAATTTGACACTTAAATCTAAAAGCGCATTGGTATAGTGAAAGATGCCTACCAAAAGCTAAGCAAAGTATTAAAAAATAGGATAATTTCATTAGAAACAAAGAAGAGAGCTCAACTGCTATGTATAATATCAGTCCTTCTATATGACAGTGAATGCTAGACAATACCCTCACAGAGGAAGAAGAGACTTGAAGCAACAGAAATGTGGTTTCTGCAGAAAGATGCCAAGAATACCATGGACTAAATATGTAACAAAGAAGTTTTAAGGAAAATGAAAAAAGGAAGTAGGTTTATACTTAGAATCAGAAAAAGACAATTGAAATTTCTCTGAAAGAAGGCTTGGCGAATTTGACACTCACATGATATATTAAAAATAAGAACAGCGGGAAATAGCAAGTAACTTACATAACAAGCTTGAATAGGAAGTGGGAGGGATAGTGAAAAGATAAACCTTACTTAGAGCTATAAATTATAGGAAGTTGTGGAAAGACATGATCGCTCATGCCCTGAAGAAACATGGCTCATAGAAGTTTAAAAGGAACTTTTGTTTACAGAGACTAAAATTGTGTGTCGCTTAAGAATATACTAAATTTTAACATCTTTTGTGTTTATGATGATTATGATTTTAAAGAGACCATCTTAAAAATGTTTGCTTTTATTTTTCCAGTCTGACTTAAAAGTAACTTCAAATGCTGTGACATCTCTCCGGTTATTCTGTAAGTGGCAATCCAAACAAAATGTTGAAGATGATTCAAGTGAACATCATCATGATGCCGCCATACTTTTAACACGGTAAGTGATCAAATGTACAAGGTCTCTCTAGAAACTATCCAATCACTTACTATTAATGGGTGGAAAATAGCCTACCTAGGGCAATTGAACCATAATCCCCTTCAAAGTATTTCCCTTATGACCACACATACTTATCCAATTTTTCCATTCCTCTCTTCATTTTGCAAAGTCCTCTTTTTGGATTACCATCAGCTGTTTTGTTGCATTCTCCTTAATCTCATCCACAATTGAATACCACCACCACCAATTTCCAACAGTGATAGCCAGAATTTGCATGGAGCCAAATTTGGACTGTATATAGTAACACACTTGGGTGATGAGATGTTTTGTTTCCCCCTACCTCCCAAAAAGGTAAAAAAAAAACCTTTGTCTGATAATTGCTGCTACTAATACAATCCAGACACCCTAGCCTCATACCATAATGCCATAACCGTAACCCCTTAACTATAGATTTCTAAGATTTCTGCCATGGCAGATGGCTCAGCTAAAATTTCTACTGCAGTTAACAAGTTAAATATAAATAGGGGTAGGGACCTTATATGCCATCAAATATGGGAGATAGATAGATATATTAATTGAATATTTGAATTAATATTTGTTCACTAGTTTTTTGGAACCAAGTTGTGGTTCCCCGTTCTGCTGATTAATCTTTAAGTGGTTCGCCTCAAAAACTCTTTCACATCCATTCATTTGAACATGTTTCCTTGCCTTCTCTTATTTTTAATATCATTTTGGCTTCTGTATGCTTTGGCCTTATACAGGAGTATGCTGCATTTTATGGCCTTCTGAGAATATCAAACTGAAGCTCTTATTTGATCTATAAAGGGTTTATTCTCACTCCTAAGCCTATTGTGTCTGTTTTTCTTCTCATGGGATTTCAAAACCATTCTTTCTCATGCTAGTTAAAAATTAACTTCTACAGAACCAGACGAGCATTAGCAAAGTTTACCAGCTAAAAGAAAAAGTTAAATGTTGGGGGTATTGAAGATTTTCTATATCAGTCTTTACTTTTTATTTTGGAAGGTCCTTGTGTAAGTTAACATGAATAGATAGAAATTAAAAACGTTTGTCCAACTGATGACAATTCAAAAAGAAATTATACTGTTGTTATTTTTTTTTTATCAACATTTCACCTCAAGCAAGATTATAAGCCACTAAGACAGGGATTACAAAGAGTGAAAGAAATGGAGAGGACACTAAAAGAACAAGATTGAAGGCGAAAACTGACTTTGGAAATGGCATTTTGGAAGATCATAGTTGACAAGAAAGCAAGAAGCTGGAAGAGAGTTCCAGCTTCTTGTAAGAAATGTGGGAGAAGAAACTATTGGGGTTGGCCCAGAAATTTGTTTGGTCTATTAAATATATTTTCTACTTAATAAGGGAAAACTTTTTGGCCAACACAATATTAGAATAGAACTTATGGTCACCTCTACTAATTTCAACAGTGAAATTGAGACCTAACTGCCAATCTAGTAGTGCACTTTAATTTGTGAAGTTGAGGGATTAAACAGGAAAACTCATCAGAATAATTATTGTGAAAATATTTATAAGAAAGACATAGAGAAGCTACATTACGGTGGTTGGAAAGTGACTGAATTCAAGATGCCAAGCCCGGACTGATAACATTGCAGATTCTTAAGAATACACTTTGGTTTTTTTTAAGAATCATTCTGTGACAGATGACTGTTTTTTTCTTTTTCTTTTTTGAACTCATTGACTGCAGTTCAAGATCATAGTCTACAACTCCACACTGCAGTTAATTGTAAACAATATAATGTTATGCCAGTGTGGCATACGATTTTGGATTCAGTGTTGTCCTTCTCCTACACTGGTTACCAACCATAGCTAGAGAACCCAGTCTACCCTGCCATTTAACTCATTTCTTTGAATAGACCTGTTTCTAATTACCTCCTTGAGAGCAACAGAAATCTGAAGAATACTGTATCCTAACTGTAAAGATATTTCATACCTCTCAGGTTGATTTTTAAAATTCCTACACTAATCAGTTGAAAGACGCACCTTTTTTGGTTCTGGTTTTAAATCAAGATGTTTATGATGATAAACTTCAAATACCTGACAACCAGAATAAACTTAATTAAAATAAATTGCAGAAATTATTTTAATGATTATAGTGTTCTAATTTATAGTAAATATATTCTTTGATACAAAATAATTTTAATCCATGTACCATTAATTTCAGTAATAATTTAAATGGGATGTGGAATTACTATTAGCAACTTATGAATTTTTGGTGCCATATATAATTACTTGGCTTAGTTCTTTTTTGTTTTTTTTAACTTCAGGGGAGATGCGTTCATAACCTTGATCCAGGTTAGTGCAGGCCCTGTACCAACTCTACCTCGTGCCCTATATACCCCACCCTACCTAGCACTCCTATACCTTCACTGCATGTGCACACTGTTTATATTCAAGTTACACAAGGCCAATATTAATGTCATTATTGACTGCTTTACCAACCATCCTCCTCTCCGAACACTATCTGTCTCTGACACTGCCCCAACCACGATCTAGTAGTTTCTTGCTGTTGCTCTGATTTTCAGTGCAGGTACTTCTGCCTTTAAGGCTATCACATAACATTTTGTTAAGAAAAATATTTATTTTATAATGGGGTGGAGGCTGATACTCCCTCCTCTCAATTTCTAACTTTTTTTTTCACGCTTTCTTAATCTTAATTTATTTTGCTTTTTCCACCATACTGTTTTTGTTGTTATTTATTGATATTTGGATTTATTTATTTTATTTAATACTTGCTTATATATCTTTTCTTTTTAATAAAGGCAACATTTAGACATTTTATGTGTTTTTTTTAGTGATATGTTATTCATTTTTTCTCTTTTTAATTACCTCTCTCCTTTTTTTTTTATTACCTCTCTCCTTTTTTTTTTATTACCTCTCTCCTTTTTTTTTTATTACCTCTCTCCTTTTCTTTTTAATTGCCCTTTTTCTCCTTTTTTTAAAATGGCCACTTTTCTATTTTTTTTAAAATGTCATTTTTCCAATTTTTTTTTTTATTTTTATTTTTTTTTTAAATGACCTTTTTCCACTTTTTAAAAAAAATAGCTTATTTCCCTTTTCTTAAAATGGCCTATTTCCCATTTTTGTTTAAAAATGGCCTAATTTTTTTTTTTTTTTTTAAATGGCCTATTTTTCCCATTTTAAATTGCCTTTTTTCACATTTTTTATAAATGGCCTTTTTTTCACATTTTTCTTTTTTAAATGGCCTTTTTTTTTTTGCATTTCTTTTTTAAATGGCCTTTTTTTCTTTTTTTTTTTTTTTTTTTTTTTTTTTGCATTTTTTTTTCAAAATGGCCTTTTGGGAGAGCCAACATCCTGTATTCACATATTTGACTCATCAGGATTTTTCCATTTTTTTTACCAACACATTTCACAAAATAACATAGAAGAAAATGGACATTAAAATTGTGTATAAGAAACAAAAATGGGAAGCGAAGAGCAAGAATAATAAAATAAATCACCATAAAGAGTTGAATAGAAATAATAAACAATCAAATAACAAAAAAGGTTACACATTTTCCAATCATTGCCCTTCAGAGCCAATTGAGGAAAAACATAATTTCAAAGAAAACAATAAGAATTTTAGTGCAATTATATGTAATATTTTTTTCTCCTTTGCTGATTCCCTATTTTTTTTTTTTTTTTTTTTTTCTAAACATTATACACAAAATTATATGTTTGTCCTTGATTGGGGCCCTGAAAAGTAAAGATAGGAAACAGGTTACTTTTTTTTTTTGTTAGTTTCTTTTTTATTGATATTGTTTTGATTCACCTTTTCACAGTGGTTTATTTTAATTTTATCATAATTGCTCCTCTTCTATTTCTTTGTTGTTGGTTATTTTGTCTTTAGTATGTCCATTTTCTTAGCATTTAATAAAGTTTTGTTCCCACCATAGATTATTTAAAAAAACTATGACTCTCATTGAGAATTTAGGTACCATGAAATAAATTTTTCTATTTGTTTATTCTTTTTAAGCATTATAAACTGGAATTGTTTTAAATATTTTAATCATGCTGCAAGCTGTTTAATGACCTTACTGATAAATGAAAATTTCTGTTAGAATAATGTAGAATTATTATCTTGGCTGCATTTGCATCGGTAAATACTAAATCTTTTGTATAAAATAAGCTACTATGTGATTTTCATTTTACACAGGTAACTACAGAAATGTCTGAATTCAGATTTGTGATTAACCAAATATGACCCGTTTGATTGTCATTTTTTGTTTTTTGTTGATTAATAATATATGTACACATACACGCACATATATTTAAGTGGTAAAATTATTTGCATATATTTAGACTCCTCCCCTTCTATTTAAATGCAGTTTATGTTCTTTAGCAAGTTCTCATTTTAAATATGTTTGTCTTTTAGAAAAGACATATGCAGAGACGGACGGAACTGTGAGACTTTAGGTAAGTTTAATAGCATTTTTTTCCTTTTACAAAATTGAATTTTATAGACCGTTGAGATGTGTACTGGGTTTGTTAGCTGAATAAAAGAAAAACCCTTTTATGTTGTAATGAAATTGTCATTTAATAAAAATCAATATGGCCATACATAATGAAATAGAAACAATTTAATTTTTGCCCTAATGCTAATGGCGCTATAATCCCTAAAACCATGAATGAATATTAGAAGAATTCCCTCCAGCAGAATGGATATATATTCTGAATTGATATTCTTTAGAAGATTTGAATAACTCCAAATTCCTTTTGACAATGTAACTGAAAATTCACCATGTTTGATAGTGGACTAGTGCTCCATTCAAACAAAATCATGATTTGTCAGTCTATAGACCTGTACTTGTTTGTCTGGAATTTTAGCATACTAAAATTTCATCTCATCTGTTTACTGTTTTTAATACTGAATTTCAAGGACTCTGATTGATCAAAAAATAGGAATTTGATAAAACATACTCTCTCTCTCACACACACAATACAGTATTAAATTGGTTTAAAAATGTTTTGTTTTTCTGGCTTCTTTGCCATTTTAATCCATATTATAAATATAGCATTCTTGAACTGAACACTCACTGCCATATGAACTGCTTTGCAAGGAGAACTTTTAACTATCTCAGCACCCAGGCATCTTTTTTATTATCAGGTTTGTTCATTCCACCTTCAAAATTTGATAGTTCATATACTCTTAGGATATGAAACATTGAAGTGATTGCACAGTATTTTCCCTTTGGATTGAATAATGAATTTAGTAATTTGTCAATGTGTATATATTGATCCAATTAGGACTGATCATACCATTCTCTATTTTCAGTTTGGAAGTTTGATTAGTGATTTTGAAATTTTCTTTTAGTAATGTCACCACCAACCAGTGACCTTGAGGCATTGATCAACCATCCTCTATTTAATTCTAATTAAACCGTCAGTTTTATTTGGAGCCCTTTTTTTTTCCAGAATAATCTGTTGAAGGCATTAACAAGTTGTATTTTGTACTTGTTTGTCTGGTGAATACTTAAATACTATGATATGGAAAATCTTTGTTCAATAATATTTGCTTAAATCCATTTTTGGATTTTATTTTTGCATTTGAAAACTTAATGCATTTTTTGATCTTTTATTTATTTTTTTAGGTTTGGCTGAGATAGGGACAGTGTGTGACATGAAAAGGAATTGTGGGATTGCTGAGGACAATGGACTGCCCACTGCTTTTACAATTGCACATGAATTAGGACATTTGTGAGTATATAGTTTGGAAACAGACTTTTTGAGTGTGGAGGCAGGAGGGCATAGATAGGCTTTTTGAGTGAGGAGGCAGGAGGGCATAGATAGGCTTTTTGAGTGAGGAGGCAGGAGGGCATAGATAGGCTTTTTGAGTGAGGAGGGAGGAGGGCATAGATAGGCTTTTTGAGTGAGGAGGCAGTAGGGCATAGATAGGCTTTTTTGAGGGGAGGGAGGAGGGCATAGATAGGAGGAGGAGGAGGAGGGCAGATAGGCTTTTTTGAGTGAGGAGGCAGTAGGGCATAGATAGGCTTTTTGAGTGAGGAGGAGGAGGGCATAGATAGGCTTTTTGAGTGAGGAGGGAGGAGGGCATAGATAGGCTTTTTGAGTGAGGAGGGAGGAGGGCATAGAGGAGTGAGGAGGGAGGAGGGCATATATAGGCTTTTTGAGTGAGGAGATGAGATGGCATAGATTAGTGATAGGTTTTTATACAATAAGTATATATAAAATACATTAAAATATAGATCTCTTACATGTAAGAATGAATTTACATGAGAATGGAATTTATATAAAAATAAATTGTAGAATAAATTTGGACTCTTCTGTTAAAAGTAATCCTTTTCCTTAGTGCACCAAAGATTAAAGTGAAGTATCTGTTAAATTTGATTAAATAATTAAAGAAGACATTCATTTAATTTATACTCTGTTTTATTTTATACAGAAAACAAAAATGTTAAATATCCAAATAAAAAGAGCTATGTCTGTTTGCGATAAAAATTTATTGATAAGCATATTCATGTACAATATCTTTTAGTTTTTTTTTTTTTTAAATGATATCACTCATCTCTATGCATGCATCTATTCACATGACAGTTGGTGTATATATACATGTATTTAAAGTTTGTTATATTAAACATATAGAAGGCATCTTCAAGGATGGAAAATAATAAGCAATCCATCCATCAGGCAAAATTCTATTGCAGTAGGATGAAAATCAAGGATATACTTTGTTGTCCATACATTACTAGTTCTCCAGAGTTCAATCAGTGATGCTACAAGCACAGGTGAGGTGCTGTGTCATGGTATTAACGGGGATGCCCTGGTTGATCTTCTGTTCTATATCCTATGGAAGCTAAAGAATCCTACACTGATCTGCTGGATATGCATCTAGTACTTTCTGCATCAAATGATGATATGATTTGAGTCAGATCATAAAGGACTTGTGGTTGACCATTGCATTGTCCATGAGGGATAGTAATGTCTTTCATCAGGTATTACTTGAAGACACATGACACCATAGATCAAGAAATGTCAAATGTTTCCACAATATCAGAAATAGAATGTCACTTGCTTCTCTCATCCAATATGAAACCACATTTGAATGCTGATAATTTACATCACCTTTCCATGACAAAGCCTAACTGATGTTCACATTGACTCACCAAATGTCAGAGCACCACTGATATAGGCCTGAGCATTTCCATGACCTCAATGTATGATGGCACCACTTATTACCTTCACATCCTGCTATCCCATAACTTTTGGCATGTCTGTTTTCATATGAGTCTAGGTAAAGTTCTGTATCTGGTGGTGTTGTGTTTACAGGGGCATCCTGGTGGCTCTTCTGTGCTCATATCTTATAGAAACTAATGAACACTGAACTGATCTGCTGCGTATGCATCTAGTTTCTCCTGTATTGAATGTATGTATGTGATTTGATCCAGTATCACGTCTGTTACTTCAGACAATTCTAGCTGAAAATTCTCATTAAGAATTGTGGATGGCTGTTGTCCATGGTGGGTGATAATGCCATCCATCAGATATTTCTGGTACATATGTGGCTCCATAGATCAAAGGATGTCAAATGTCTATTCATTTTCAGAAAATGGAATGTCCCATCCATCTGGTACTCACTATCATGCCTCATTTGGACTCTGCTAATTCAAGATACCTTACTATGAGCAGCCTAGTCGGTGTTCATAATGACTTACCAGATGTCAGAATACAACTGATATAGGTCTGGGCATTTCTATGATGTTAAAGTATGGTGGTGCCACCAACCATTACCCTTACTTACTTCTACCTAATAACTTGGCTCGTCAGTGTATGTGTCTCTTTACTTTTCTCTCTATTTCATGTGCACTACATATTTCTGCAATCTGTCTCCTTTAAATAATGGAGGCTAATTTATCTACATTTCCCATTCCTGCCACTTACAGAATAGGATATTTGGGTTCCAAGAAAGAAAACATTAATCAAATTAAGTTAGGAAAGATTATCTTTGTTTTTAATCTCAGCAGCCATCTTTTAAGGAATAGATGATCCTTCTCCCTACAGTTCACTCAATAGTTCTTCATTACATTCTAAATTATACTAATAAATGCCTCCAAAGGAACTAGATGGATAGACTTGGTTTTAATCTGAATCAAAAATTTTTGTTATTTACACATGAACAGTTTTGTATCAAATACTCTTTATGCAGTTTTGCTCAGTTTTTTTTCTTTTTACATTTGCCAGTAATCATCTTCCCTAACTCCCATTAAAATTGCATTCTAAACACGTGTACAAAATTAATTTATATCTTATAATTATATGACCAAAGCATATCCTGGTCAATGGGTTCGAGTTTACTCTACAATGACAATGTGCACAATTGGATTGTGTGTCAGGTTACAAATCTCGGTTATTCCATGCAGGAAATGAAGTGAAAATGGATTTAAAACTCAAACAAAAAAAAAAAATTATATCAGCTGCTACATTAAATACTAAAAGGGGTCTGTTATTAGAGCTTGTGTTGAAAATAAGGGTTCAGTTGGTTGCAAGATTTTGGTGGAGAAAGCATGTCAAAGTAGTAAATAATTGTTTATATATATAATATATATATATATATATATATATATATATATATATATATATATATATATATATATATATATATATAATGTGTGTGTGTGTGTGTCTCTCTTTCTCCTGGTAAGTACATCCAATGAGCCAGGGTTTCATTTAATATATTACTATACATACACACACTTTATTATAAATGTTGAAAGTCTGCCTGTCTGCCAAAACTAGAACATGTTTCTTTAAATAAATAAGTCACTGAAAGTAGTAACATACTTTCAACAGGAAGTCAGAAAGACTGACAAGCAATCTTTTTTTTTTTTTTTTCTCAGACATAAAATCTGGTTGCTTTTTATCTCTTTGTCAGTCAAGTGACCTCCATCCCACCCACTAAGCCATAATTTTTACTTATTTTGATATTTTCTTTCTATTATTCACCCAATAGGAGACTCAAGAGCCACTCAAGGTAGAGGATTATTAAATGGGTTGTTGTAACGGCTTACAAAGAGAAAGCAGGAAGTGTGGATTGTAGGATAGATAACAGTTGACCCCAGACTAGAAAAGGTTAAGATTGTAGTGATAAGGAAAGTATCTTTTGGGGTGTTTGTTTCACAATGTAACAGTTTGGAGATAGAAGATAAGTGGGACCCTCCTTATCAATGGAATATGAAGGGATGAATTGGCTCTTAGTCTGTGGCCTTATAGATCATAGATGTAAAGGTTTGGAATGGTGGAACCAAGGAATGTAGTTGGCCCATTATCTGCCATGAAACTAGGGAGAGACTAGCAAAGTTTCTTCTGTGGGGTGGGGTGGGGGGATTGTAAGGTGTAAAACAATTCCTCACCCACAAGGCCACACAAATACTTTTTAACTCTTGTCAAGGCTGGAAAGTGAGGATTGGGCAGCTCCATTTTTTTCTGTCCTTGTGTCTTCCAATAATATAGGGTCACTGTTTTTATATAATTTTGAGTATTTTTCATTTTAATATTTTGAAAAATTTGTTTTCTATGCAAATTTTGAATAAACAATACATATTTTTTTTTTTTTTTACTTTATCTTTAAATCAATATATATTTTGATTAAATCAATATATATTTTAATTAAAGGTATAAATTACTAAGTTAATAGAATTGTTGAAAAAAATTGAAGTTATTGCTACTTTTGTTTTCATGTTCTTAAGAAAGTATGAAATCCCATTCTGATTGTGATGCATCATGTTATCTCAGACAGAGTTTCATTCATTGACATATTTCAGTGGTAAACAACTGCTGGGAGAATTATAAATTAGAATAGATTTTTAACTTTGAAACAAATTTCTATTTCTCTATTTTGGATGAAAATAATACTTGTCTGAATTTTTCACCAATTCTTTTTCTAAATGTATAAACTGGATGAAAATTGAATTAAGTTTTACATAAATTTTTGATCATACATGCCAATTGTGTAGAAATCTATAAGAATAAATATTAAATATTAAATATCCAAGACCCAAAAGTTTTAATTCTCTTCCCCTTTTCATTCCTTTGTTTTGTTTTTTTTTTCCAGATTTAGTTTACCTCATGATGATGCACCAACTTGTAAAAAATTTGCTGGTAATGCTGATGGTGTTTACCATGTGATGGCTCCAACCCTGGACTTTGACACAAGCCCATGGACATGGTCAGAATGCAGTGCATCACTTATCACCAAGTTTATTGAGTAGGTTATGAATTATCTTTACTTAAATGTTGTTGAATCTATGATCAATATGAAGTACAGGAATATACAGCTGTTAAATTGAAGAAATTCTTCTTTGTCACTCTTACTGTCCATGAAAATTTCCTCTATTGATGTAACGGATTCATGCCTCACCTTGGGGGTCCCATTGTGATTTTAAAAACACTTTATTAAAATTTGCTGATAAAATAACTATTTCACTTAGGACAAAATGTCTGACATCTGGTCATTCCCTATTCGTATCACAAGCTTAATGATATCATTTTCGTAGTAATCGGTTATTTTTAGAAACATACTTTTCCTTTGAAACAAAGCTGTCATTCAGCAAACATGTCCACTCAGAGAATATTGAGTAGCGTCAGCAGACATGTACGCCTGCAGAATTGTAATTGTTTTTTTTTTTCTTTAAGCATTATGCCCCAAGCAAGGCGTGAAGCCACTAGGATGCAGGGGGTTGCAGAAGATTTGGAGCAAGAGCAGATAGGAGTGATAGAAGGATGAGAAGGATAGTGGGTAGATCAAGGTAACTGGAGGTGTCGATTAACATTACATTTGAATAGTTGGAGATTATAGCTCTCAGGGAAACAGTAATTTGGAAGGGTGTTCCACAGGCGAGAGATGCGAGGTATGAAGCTATTGGAGTAGAAGAGACGCCTACATTTAAAAGTTTCTACAGTGTAAGGGTGGGAGTAATGGTTAAAAATAGTTTTTTGTAATTACACATATCTAAAAAAATGTCAAAGTTGGTACTTCATAACTGGCCTGACTCTTCTCTGCCAGAGCTACTATTTATTGTCTGCTTTTTAAGGACCCAAAATATTTCACCTTGTCTTCTAGGAAATGACATTTGTTCTTCTGAAGTTTCATCTTGTTTTCTTCCAACACCTTCAACAAAAACTCTTTCCAGGTTTTGAAGATGCTCTTGGCTATTTCTGCTCCTTACTAAGATGTTATCATTTCATATAATTATTCAGGGAATATCAATAAGTTTCTTTCTCATTGGCCTCGTTGCTTTTGAATATGCTTCTGCCACACCATGGATTCCAATTGGAATAGCTTACTAGAGCATCCACATTGAGCATCTGCTGTTAATTAGCATTTGAGAGCTTGATTAATTTTCTCTTATCCTATCCATTCAGTATAGTCAAAATGTCTTATAGGCACATAGCAAGATTACATTTTGTCTGTGGGCTTTATCATTTTATAATTTTCTGATTGTGTAATTACATGTTTTGAATTTGAACTGGTGAAAAGATATTTAAATTATCAGCACTGGATTTTGTGTTTTTGTATAATTTTGTGTGATTGGCTAAGGTAATCTAGACTCCTGCTCAGATTTCTAAGGGTGTTTTTTAGTAGTGGAACTGAAACAAACTAGTTGTGTTCCAATGCTATATTCAGATTGGGCAGCTCCAATTGTTCCTGTTTTGAAAGAAAATAGCAACATCACAATATAACATGGCAAATCCCTGGATAAAATGTGATTATTATCCATTGCGTTGCACCAAAGATCTTTTTGCTACATTAAATAGGAGAGAGAAATTCACCAAACTTGACCTCTCTTATCAACAGCTGAAGTTTAATTCGGTATTGCAGTCAGCAATTTAAGCTACTGAGATTCCAAATTGGGATCCATTTGCAAACTTCAATAACTAAAACATCAAATTCTGCTTTCAAGTAATAATCTTATGACAATTTTCATTTATAGTCCTTTGATAGATTTTCAATTTCTTGCCAACTTTCACCAACTGTAGGTTTTTACATATTCTTTTATGAGAGGGGAGCTAAAATGTACAATTCTTGCTCTGAAGTTCATATTTTGAATAAGTTTCTTTGTAGCACTTAGATAAGTATTCAAGTAGTAGTTCTCAGAATACCAGGTTATATTTCTCCCCTCAAGATCCCAGGTTTTCTCAGTTCCTCCTACATTTAAAATTTCTCCTCTTGTGATTTTTTTAAGTGTTAATTTTAATTTGTTGAATGCATAAATTAGATTACAAAAATTCAGAAAACTGCTATTTCTCAAAATATTACCCATGCAATAATCAGTCTCAGAGTTAAATCTGAATTGAAGTTCATATTTAAAAAGTGAAAAGCTTTTTTTATTTGTGGATTATTTTTTTCTTCTCCCTTTTCCTAGTTCAGATTATGCAGAATGCCTGCTGGATAAACCACCCAAAAGGAACCAAAGAACACGTTCCATGGACCAATATATGCCACCAGGTTTAAAATATGATGTGAATTTGCAATGTCGCCTGGCATATGGAAAGGATTACACAAGTTGTACGGGACGGAGGGTAAATGTAAGTTACAAGCTTTTTTATTCTATGCAATTTTATAGCAATGAATTCCTAGTATTATTTTTAATAAAATTTTTATTTGTGTAAAAATCATGAGTTTTGATACGTAATAGATGGGTTGTTTTTTTTTTTTTTTTTTTTTTTTAGCTACTTCCTCCCAAAATTTAATATATTAGGCTGATCAAAATAGTTGTCAGACTGACACAGTTCCCAAAATATGACCAAATTTAATAAACAATAGAATTTATTTTGGAAGGACTTCTTGGTTGAGCTGGAAGCTTTTATGCATAAATTTGGACATGGTGTGTGTAGAATGTATGCAACCATTTTGAATATCTCAAGAAGCAATTGAATATCCCTGAGATAACTGGGCATATGGTTGCAAGACATGGAAAATGAATCATGGAGATGACAAGCTTGTTGACACACCCTGTCGTTTGGGGCTTTAGCATACACTGACTGCACCTCTGCAGAGGCCACATGTTGACCATGGATGCCTGGGGATGGTATCCTGTTAATTGAGGCATTCATGAGGAGGGATGGATTAACTCCTGAATCCCAACGCATCACTTTGGCCTTTACCTGGGCTAGACAGGCAGTCGGAGAGGCCCAATCCAATCAACCGGCTTGTCAGACTAAGCCCTGATTCAGCTTATAAACTCTGGAAAAGCTGAATCAAAAGGTAGTGGTTGTGTGGCCAGTCATGCTAAGAGACAATTGTTCCAAACTATGCCTGAGCAAGTAGTTAACTTAGGAATTAAAACTTAAGAGGTTAAATAATTATTACCTCATCATAGTGTGAGTATACTCACTGTATAGCACTGATCTGCCATGGTGAATCAGCTTCCCTCTTGGCATTTTTCCTAGTAGGGCTCTGTGATGGGTGGGGAGTACAGTTAGTGAAGCATAATTTCATTATATGGAAACAGAAAGAAAAATCAAAGCTAAAAGACTCCACATGGAGTCAGATTCTGATCATGAATATATTGCGATACCCTTTCCTAGATTTATAATACTTAAATCTAGAGTGAAGGTCCCACTAACCAAATTATCACCATTCTTGATACAGAAGGTTATATCCTCAATGGTTAATACTGTAGTGAAAAGGATAATCCCCTACCTCAAAAAAGAGTTGTTTTGTGTGCAATCTGCTAAAGAAAAAAAAATGGCCAAATATAGTTAGCAAAATTCTGCTACTTTAAGTATCAGAATCTATGCTAATGTTCTTTCCTCCCTTGAATGGTATGGCCAATCAGAAAAATTGCTCAGTAAATAAAAGCCATTGTTTTTCGCTTACAAAGGCAGGATTTTTTTTGAGCTTAGTGAACGAACATGCATTTCTGCTGGTGAGAAGTGAAGGTTGGATTTGTGACCCTATTTTGTTGTTTCTACATTTCCTGTAGGACTGCTACAACAGACTATCATTTGAACTGGGATTTGGCTACAAGTGTAAAAGAAACCCATTGCAGGTGTTTATTGCTACTATATGTTTACAGTTTTTTTTTTTCTTTACTAATCCGAAATCAGTAAAAAATGTTTAAAAAATGGAACCATACTGATAGAAATATCAAATAAAAAAACATGTGAGCACACTATTAAAGACTTAAAAATTCCATAACATTTGTATAAAAGCATATCCCTAGAGGTGTGGTTCATAATGGAGATCTATCCCTTTGTACCACTGAAGAAATAAAAGCCAAGTTGAAAAAAATTCCATAACATTTGATATTCTAAAAACAAATCCCGACTGACGTCAAAAGGATGGTTCTAAAAAAAAAAGATCTATCCTTTGGACCACGGTTGAAAAAAAAAAAAGAAACGTCAAAAGGACAACGTTGAAAAAAACAAAAATGACGTCAAAAGGACAACGGTTGAAAAAAACAAAACACGACTGACGTCAAAGGACGGTTGAAAAAAAAAAAACGCGACTGACGTCAAAGGACAACGGTTCAAAAGGAAAACGGTTCGTCAAAAGAAAAAAAAAAACGCGACTGACGTCAAAAGGACAACGGTTCAAAAAAAAAAAAACGACAGCGGTTGAAAAAAAAACGCGACTGACGTCAAAAGGACAACGGTTCGAAAAAAACAAAACGCGACTGACGTCAAAAGGACAACGGTTCGAAAAAAACAAAACGCGACTGACGTCAAAAGGACAACGGTTCGAAAAAAACAAAACGCGACTGACGTCAAAAGGACAACGGTTCGAAAAAAACAACGACTGACGTCAAAAGGACAACGTTGAAAAAAAAAACGCGACTGGACGTCAAAAGGACAACGTTGAAAAAAGGACGCGACTGACGTCAAAAGGACAACGGTTCGAAAAAACAAAACAACAATATAGATTCAGCAGATCACTTTACAGACATACTAATCACTATTGCAAAGAAATGTATTCCCAAAAATTCAACACCAAATAGAAGAAACAGAGCCTGGTTCAGTAGTAAACATTTGTAAGCCATAAGATAACAAAAGGCTTCTCTATGAAAATTTAACAATGAACCTACAATGGTAAACATAAACAATTACAAGCTATATAATGCTATGTCTCATAGATATTTTCCAAGCGTAGCTTAAATGTGGCACAAGGCCAAAAGTATGGGGCATCTAGTGAAGATCAAACTCACTTTTTCAGTTGTAACTGATCTAGCGAGACAAGCTTGCTAACCATTACACCACGCCGAGGTGCCCCATGTCTCATAGAACAGTGAAAGAAGCGAAAAAAAAGAATGTTGGCAAAATATGTCAACAAGCTAAGCTCCTCCTCAGAAACATAATCAGTATCAGAAATAGTGAGGAAAATAGCTGGGAAATACCAAATAACGCCAATGAAGTATCTTTCCAAAATAACATATTGGTCCACTTGTGTATTGGCCATACAAGAATTACCAATACCTACTGAAAGGAGAAGAACAACCAACATACCCAACTTGCAAATCTGCATACACTATAAAACATGTATTGACTGAATGTACAACTCTTGCTCCATCTAGAAAGACTTTCTTCAACATAAACAACATAAGGGAGGCTCTTTGAAAGAGCAAGAATGGATTATATATCATTTCTCAAAGAAGTGGGTTTTTACCAAAAAATATGGACCTAGCAAAAAAAACAAACATCTAAACCAACCAAAGTAATGTGATGGGGGAGGGGGGCTGAAACCATAAGTTGGAAAAAAAATATAAAAGAAAATAAGTAAATAAATAGTTGGTACCATATGATTGGGTATAAAAAAAAAAAAAAAAAAAATTTTTATGACATAAAAATGCCTTAGATTTAAATGACCCATGAGGGGTCGATAGGTCGTAAAACAAAACAAACAAACAACAAGCTTGTTGACCTATTTAAGTATCCTCAAGATTAGATGGCAAGACCATGGAAAGATCGCAGAACTGCTCCAGCATGCCTCCATAGAACCCCTTAGTGTTGAGGTACGTTGAAGATGGAGGTTCATTGCCAACACTTTAATGCAAGACCCAACATACCACTGGATCCTTGAAGGAAGCATGCGAGGAAAGCCAAAAGCCATATGGTGAAGGAGAGGGAAGCAATCACTACTATATTGCTATTTATATGGCAAATGTTCAAATGAGGTGCATTCTTTAGTTCCACCAGTCCAAATCTTTTATAGCTAAGACATGTCTTGCTACTTCCACATAGTTGAATCACCCTCATTTCCTCCATATTCCAAAAATAGAGAGAAAATTCCACTCAGCAGTTTCCGAAGAACTACCACTTTTTGAATAGACTTCTGCTTGGATATTTCCCTGAACACTATTATGTTTACTTCTTCAAATCATAGGACAATCCCTCCAGCTATGGGTTAAATAGTATGATCGCTATCTGAAAAGCATATCTTAATACAATATTCACTTGCAAAAAACAGAATTATTTTTTACAATCCCAAAATTTTGGGGCTTTAAATAACCTACAAAAGGTTGACCAGTCGTAAAAAAAAACAATCATTCTTATCCTCATAATATTAAGTTTCTACTACCTTCCCTTTCACTCATATCGCCCCTCATGCATCATAATCATTTTAACAGTAATCCTCTACCTTGAGTGGCTCAAGATGCTTGTGTATAAAAAAGAAGGAATTTATGGTTGATTGCAAGCTTTGTAAAAGCACTGAAATTCTGAAGAACACTGAAATCGCAACCATCAAAATGCAACTCCACTTGTTTCATAAATCTGACATACATTTGATAACACTGCATAAATTGAAAGAATTGTCCAATGAAATCAAACCTTTTTCATTTGCAAATTTATCTGCTCTTGTTTGATTTCCTTCCTATCTATTTGCAATTATGAAAAACATTTTTCTGTAATGAAAAAATGGGCATGGTTAAGTGTAATTGACAAAATTCTAAAAAAAAACAATAATAAAAGAAAAAAAGAACAGTGCAATATATATATATATATATATATATATATATATATATATATGTGTGTGTGTGTGCGCAGATATGTAGAAAAATAGGAAAGAACACGTTAGGTAAATAATCCAGAGTTCTTTAGTATTTGTTTTTATTTTTAAAAAACAGTGCTCCATACAGAAGTAGGGCTTAAATTATAATATATATATTTGTGCACACACACACATACAAAGTGCAATGGATAAATTGTTGCCTAAATTACACAAAAATGAAAATAACACTGACATCTCACTTTAATTAATAAATATATTTACCAAAGTTACTCAAAAATATCTTGAAATACTAAAGAGTAAATTTATTTGATAAAATCGCTATTGGCTTGCAATTAGAGCCTCCAGATAAATTTGGGATCTCCTGCATCTCTTCTGGATGGTCTCCTTAAGTTGGTGAATGCTGCCATAATCCCTTCCTTCAGTTCCTCTTTGCCGTTAGGAATTTTGTTGGTCTCTCATTCAACTGTGCCTCACACATAATAATCTAGGGTGCTGCAGTCTGGGGAGTTAGGTGGCCAGATTAATGGATGATGTGGTTGCAGAAATTGTCTGACAGCCATAACTGGATTCTCCTGCTTGTGTGGCATGCTGCAGAGTCCTGTTTCCAGGCATAGAGGTTTCCAGACATAGAGGTTTCCAGAAGTCATCCTCTTGACCCAGGGCAGCACTACCTCCTCAAGGCACTTGATGTAGGCCTCTGTGTTGAGTGATCACTCCTAACACCTTAATAATCACTATTAGACTCCTCCAACTCTTTCCAAATCCTCTGCACTGTCCTTAGATTGATTCCCAAACACTCTGGAATGTTCATATTGGAGCTTCTGGCATGAATGCCAAGCAGTTCATGCTGTTTCCAAATTTCTGGCAGAGTGAATTGCATCATGGTGCTCTTTTTCTCACAGACGGTGCCCAACTGACCCTACTGTACTGTGGAGTTGGCAAAATCAAAAACAAAAATTGTGCATGTCTGCAAGTCAAAAGCAAAGCAATTGTTGTAAGACAGTAATAAAGTGAAAAATTTAAAAAATAGGAATACTCTTCACATTTAAAAAGGATACAATCAAATAGTTATAACCTTATGATTTCGAGGTAATAAAAAAAAATGTGAGATAAGACTGAGACGTGTCCATTATATTGACTAGGAAGAAATTCAAGCATGCATCTGTAAGATTTGTGTAGGGGAGATTTTTAGCAGTCATTCTCATTAGATTGTGGCTAACACCAAATTTCAGGAAAGACTATGAATTGAAAATTATATTCAGTAGCTGTATCTCTCTGAAGATGTAAATCAAAAACTCATCCATTTCATTAATAATAACATTAAATTACTAATAAAGACTACATGTCTATTATTTATTCTGGTATCTTTACATTTTGACCTTATTCATAAGACATATCAACACTGACAGAATGAACAGGTAATACTGAAAGAAAAAGTTTGAGCACACCTGCCTTACCATTAGGTTTCTAGAAAACTGTTTTCATTGTAATTTTTGCATGCTATTTTAATTGTATTTTATTCTTAAGAAATGTCTTTCCTTGACACCATTTTCTTTCATAAGCACTTTTGTGTTATTTTATTGTTAATCTCTTGTTTTAAACAGACACCATGCTCTCGATTGTGGTGTTTTTCTCGAGGAAGGAATTCTTGCCGTACAAAACGAGCTCCCTGGGCAGATGGGACCATCTGTGGGGCAAATAAGGTCAGTGAAATTAAATATTTTTTTGTTTTAAATTTTTATATTATATTTTTTTTTTTTTTTTTTTTCATTATTTAACTTTTATTTCCCTTTTCATTGCTTATCATTTTGTAGAAGAAAATAATCACTGGAATTTTCTGAGAAAATACAAAATACTCATCCTTCTTTTTCCCTGATTTCATGTCAGTGTAATTTATTTGAATCTCACCTCTACTGTACACAATCTGAAATCTTTGGCTTAACAGACCTAATTTGCATATATAGGATTGACTAAAAGTTAATTCTGTTTTTGTTATCAGGCAGTATTAGACAGATTTAGTCTTGACTAATTTAACTCAAAATGATTATTTTATTATAATAGTTGTCATGTCTGTTTGAATTTAATTTTTAAATTGTCAAAATTGACAGAATTTGATTTTTACTTTGAAGATGGAGAGGAAATAACCAACATTTTCAGCTTATGTTTTATTAAATTGTAAAAATGAAACTCAGAAAAACAAAAACATTAATGCTGAAGGTTTTGTGAATAAATGATTGACAAGATGAAGTTTTGCTGATGATATCCCTCTGAATAAAAGTCGGTAGACCAGCAGAGGTTTCTAGCAATAAAGTCAAGACATTAATTGAGAATAATGAATTTCATATGATGCAGTGAACAAGGAAGCAAAAAAGTTTAGCGCTAATAAATTTTGTTCAATCAAAACTTTAACAGAACGGCCTAAATCTCACTCTATAAATAAATGAGCCACAATTTCTATGAGTGAAGAAACAGTAAAATGTCCAATTCTGAGAAACAATCATGAAGTACTTCTTTCACCCAATAAAAAAAAACTAAGTTTGTCACCAACTGTTTCACTCACCTCTGGGGCTTTGTGAAATATTGTCAAGTCTATCAAAGGCAGCCTCCTTACTGGAGAAGGATGTATCATCAATGTTTTGTGACATGTTTGATGAGGTCAAATATTCTTTAGATTTTGTAGGAATGCAAGCTGATTATCTCTGTGACTTTCCCCAATCTGGGCAAGAAGCAGTGTTCTATACTTGAGGTGGTTTACTGGTACAATGTAATACCAAAGGCTGATACCTCACCTTTAGCTGCATCTGCCTATGAGATCCAAGAATACAAGGTTTGGCAGAAATACATTTATTTTGTTGAGTCCAAAGATGAAGTATGAGGTTGGAGAAGCTTTTACATATGAGTTAAGTGAAATAAATTAAACTCTACTGGATCATATTTCAGTGGGCAATTCACCACTACTTAAACAAAGAAAAAGTTAAATTTTTAAAGCAAATTGTAACAGGCAATGAAAAGTGGATACTTTACAACAATATGGTGTTAAGTGAAATGAATCACTACTAACCATACCAAAGAATGATCTTCATCTAAAGTTGAGTATGTATAAATGTATAAGGGAACCAGACTGACAAAAAAGCAAAAAACCCTTGGCCCAGGGTTATCTGGTGTAGATAAAAGTTGGAGTTGTGTTCTCTTGAATAATTGGCTGTTTGGAGAAGGCAGTTCCTCAACAGAGATGATTGCTAAATTTACATGACAATTGTTGTGCCAATTTAGATAAGAATGGTAATAATTGGTCAATAAATCACAGCCAATATAGATACAGGTGTATAAAACTGACATTTTTAAGTATCAGCAGGTGAAATGTTTGGTACTGATGGTTGGGAGAGCATTATTTACTGTTTATTTTGCAACTAGTCCAATTTGCAGCCATTTACTTTCCTACACTAGTGAAATTGAAATATTTTTTCAAGGGTACAAAATTTTAATAAAGCAATAAAAGAAAACATTAAAAAGTCATTCATAAAAAAGAAACAATTTGTAAAAAAAGTAAAGAGCAATAACAAAAAATATATATTATCATGAATTGGTAATACTGAAATGGTGAAATCAGTTTATCAGTTCTCTCTCATCAGGGTAAAAACTGAAGACAAAAATGTGCACAGCAACTAAAAAATATACAAACCCAGACAAATGTTATATGCAAACAAAAATATAGTGATTTTCCAAGTGTAGCTTAGATGTGGCCCAAGGCCAAAAGTAGGGGGCACTCAGTGAGGATTGAACTCACTACTCAGTTGTAATTGTTCTAGTGAGACAAGCTTGCTAACCATTACACAACCTCAAGGTGCCCAATGCAAACAAAAAATATATAACTTTAAGGGTAATTACCTTTATGCTTACTGATCACTCCTTGTGCTTATAGAGAGTTGGTAAGACTTTGGTACTGACTTGGAATCGGTATTCATTGTTCTACCAAACATGAGAGGGGTCCAATAAAATGGTTTAGTTGTTTTTAATTGTTATTTTCATATTACCAATTCATGGTAATGTATATATTTTGTTACTCCTTTTTTTTTTTTTTTTTTTTTTTTTTTTTTTTTTTTTTTTTGAGATGAATTGTTTTTTTGTGTTATGAATGGCCTTTTTATGTCTGCTTTTATTGCTTGAATAATGAAATTGTAAGAGTTCTCAGAGTTTCTTTTGGGAAGCAAAAGGATTTACATGAAGAAAAACTGCACCCAATTAGATTGATGGAAGGCAGCAATTGACAAAAAGTATATGTTATTAAATTGTAAGGATGCAATATTTTATCAAAATAATGCAAGATGTTATGCTTCTTTTGATGGCCTGACCATAAAAAATTTTTCTTAGATGGGAAGTTTTTATGTCTCTATCTTATTTCACAGACATACCTTCAGATTACCAGAGATTCTAGTCTTCTTTACACAGTTGCTTTAATCAAAAGAAAAAGTGAATTTCTAAGAAAGCATATAGAACAGTTTTTTTTGTCTTAAAAATGACTGAAGATATTGGAACAAAATGATAAATGATGTGCAATAAATTTCATGACAAAAGTAAAAATTCTTTTAGTTTTACTGAATAAACCAAAATATTTATTTTGGCCATGGTCTCTTTATTAGTATATCCAGTCTCCTATTGCTCTGCAGGCACAGTGTTGAATATTCTGACCCTCTCCTCTGTAGAGGGGCAAGACTGACTACCTCCTCATTATAAAGGGCTCACCTATCGGGTTAATGTTTGTGGACTCGGGTATAGACACAAGTATAAATATGGCCACTGTTTACGTCTAGATACAAGTATCATAAAAGAAATTTGACATTAAATAACCCAACAAGGATTGATATATCATAAAATCCACTGACACAACCCAGATGTCCATTGATGTACAAATTCAGATTTTATATAAGGCTAATTATTTTTTTATTATAATTATGTGATTCTTTTGCATGAAAATCAATTATTTTTTTAATTTTTTTTTTTTTTTTTTTTTTTTAAAAACCAGTGGTGTCAAAAAGGTGAATGTGTGATCAAGAGACACTTAGATCCCATTCCAGGTAACTGGGGAAGCTGGAGTGAATATGATGCTTGTACATTGCCCTGTAATGGGGGTATCAAAAAGTCTGTCAGAAAATGTGACAATCCGGTGTGAGTATTTATCAACTTTTAGAAATTTTTTTTTTTTCTTTAAATCAATTTTATCCCATGTTTTCTTTAATCTACAATCCTTTATCTTCTGTCTTTGCTTACATTTACTTACTCTTATTTTTATACCACTGTATCAATGTATTTTGTGAGATGTTTATTTTTCCTTATATGTAGTGTTGCCACCTGACAGGTTCCACACAAAAGTAAAGGTAGATAACAAGTCAATACAACACCTCTAATCATTACTTAGCAGCTTCCAGGAACCTCATCAAACTTGGAGGGAAGTTAATATCTATAACTTCAGCTGAAAACTTCAGAAACAGTAGGTGCTTCCAATGTACTGGAATAAAAGACCTACATCACAAGTTGTTCGGGGGTCAGCTGCTGTATTCTAATACACCTGCATATCTTTTTAGTCTACCAACTGGTGTGTCTACTTACATTTATATCTTGGTCAGTTTATGAACTTTTCAGTTGACCCTAAAAGAACCAATAGGAACAGCACTAGATACAATTCAGGAACTTCACAGGTTTCAAGAATCATAGGAACTTCAACTGGTGTGGAGGAAGTGGGAAGGTGAAGAGAGGGTAAACACACACACACACACACACATATATATATATATATATATATATATATATATATATATATATATATATTAGAATATTAAAACAAAAACATGTTTTTGGTTTTAGTTTCAATATCCTAAAATAAATAATATTTAGCTCTACTCTGTATTGAGCCCTCATTTAAATTAAATGTTACATACAGCGGAATTATACTCCATTTGTTCTCATTTTACCTGGAGATATATATATATATATATATATATATATATATATATAAATATATATATCTTTTCATTCCCTTTTATTCTTGTCATTTTTTTTTTTTTGTCTCTCTTATTAAAAATGATATTTGAGTGATATGGATAGTGGCTCAGAATGAGAAATCAGAGAGCCAAGTTCAATTAGTCATGTTCGTTACATTCACATACATGCAAATGCCTTTGGGAATGGTATGAATCCATTTTTTCTCCCCAAACTATGGGTTAAATAGCTTGTATCTGGAAAAATCATTACTATCTTCAAAAATTTTGTTAATGCAATATTCAATTGCCAAAAAAAAAAAATTTCTTACAATGTAAAAAAAAAAAAAATATATCTCAGTTTTAAATAACCTGCAAATGTTTGATAAACTATAAAAATCAAATCATTCAATATTGCTAAAAAAAAATGGTATGGGATACTGTGTAGGCTTACTAATGATATGGGATATTTGAATTCCTAACAATAGACATGGAAGCAATAACCCCAAAACAATTAAAAAAATGAAATTCTCCTTTATTTTTTCAATTGGCTTTTTATCTTTTTTCAGACCAAGGAATGGTGGCAATTATTGTCTTGGTAAAAGAATCAAATATAAATCCTGCAATACAAAAGTAAGTATTTGGACATGTAGAAATTTTATGAATGTTAACAACTAAGATTATCCATAATCTCATGATTATGATCTACCTTTTTACCTTTCTTTTCTCATTTTCTCTTTGTTCATTATAATCTTTGTTCATTATAATCTTTATTGCCTGTCCAGGTTTGTATCTAAATCTTATGTATTATGTACTGGGTTCACCATAGATCATTTCAAAATAGACTTTGCACTCATTGTCTTTGAGAAAAGCCCATTGCAAGTTTGGTTTAAGAGATGACTTCCAAGCTCTGGGTGGAGATCTCAGTGATTCACTAAATATCAGTCAGATTTGTTACTCTCAATTTACATGAAAATACCCTAGAAAAAAAATTACAAATCCTCCCCAGTTATGGGTTAAATAGATGGACTTGTATATGGAAAAAATCATTATTCTCAAAAAATTTTGAATGCAATATTAACTGTTAAAAAAGAATTATTCTTACAATCTGATATATATATATATATATATATCAACCTTAAATCATCCACAAAGAGTTGATAAACCATAAAGACAATCAATCCCAACTATCCTCTTTCCTAACTTCCCAATTTATCCATTGCATCCTTTTTGTGTGTGTGTGTATATATATATATGTGTGTGTGTATATATATGCGTGTATATATATAGGTATATGTGTATATATATTCATGTATATGGGTATATATATTTGTGTATATGTATATATATATATAGAATTTATATATGTGTAGGATATAGTTGTATGCATATATATGTATACATGGGTGTATATTTTTATATATATAGAGTTCTAATGAAAGGACAGAAATTTTATTTTTTATTACCTTTTAATCTTACTTTCTGTTTAAATAATTTCTAATTAGACTTGAGAGAATTTAGATATATATATATATATATATATATATGAATACGATATTCATATATATGGGAATTTAGGCATATATATTTGTGTATGATT